ACCATGCCTAGCTAATTTTTTGTAAGAGATGGGGTGTATTAGTCTGTTTTCAGGCTGCTGATAAAGACATACCCAAGACTGGGCAATCTACAAAAGAGGTTTAATTGGACTTACAGTTCCACATGGCTAAGGAAGCCTCACAATCATGGCAGAAGGCAAGGAGGAGCAAGTCCCTTCTTACATGGATGGCAGCAGGCAAAGAGAGAATGAGAGAGATGCAAAAGGGGAAACCCCTCATAAAACCATCAGATCTTGTGAGACTTGTTCACTACCACGAGAACAGTATGGGGAACCTGCCCTCATCACTCAATTATCTCCCACCAGGTACCTCCCACAACATATGGGAATTATGGGAATACAATTCCAGATGAGATTTGGGTGGGGACACAGAGTCAAACCATATAATGGGGTTCTGCCATATTGCTCAGGCTGGTCTCAAACTCCTGAGCTTAAGTGATCCATGCACCTTGGCCTCCCAAAGTGCTAGGATACAAGCGTGAGCCACTACGCTGGCCAAGTTATGATTTCATTAGTGAAACCTTGAGCATAAACCTTGACCTAAGATCACTGTAATACAAGTTATTAACTAAAACAGCATTAATACCCTTAAATATTAAAAAATATCTAAATATTTACTCTTTGCCTTCTTTTGTATCTCTCTATGCACATTCCAGATCCATTGCTTAGTCAGCTCCAACTGGTTTTCCCAATATTATATACACTACTTTCTATAAGAAATCATTTTGGTCTTGCTCTGTTGTCCAGGCTGGAGTGAGTAGTGTGACTGCAGCTCACTGCAGCCTCAAACTCCTGGCCTCAAGCAATCTTCCCACCTTGGCCCCCCAAAGAGAAATTAAACCCTAAGTCCACACAAAAATTATAAATGAATGGTCACAGCAACATTATTATTAATAGCCAAAAAGGGGAAACAACCCAACTATTCATCAACTGATAAATTGGTTAAAAAATGTGGTATATCCATACAATATAATGGCAATAAAAAGGAATAAAGAATGATTGACTGCATGCTACAAAACAGATGAATCTTGAAAACATTATGCTAAGTGAAAGAAGCCAGGATGGGTGCAGTGGCTGACATCTGTAATCCCAGCACTTTGGGAGGTCAAGGCAGGCAGATCACTTGAGGCCAGGAGTTTAAGACCACCCTGGTCAACATTCCAAAACTCCATTTCTACTAAAAAACACAAAACTAGCAGGGCTTAGTGCTGTGAGCCTATAGTTTCAGCTACTCAGGAGGCTGAGGCAGGAGAATCGCTTGCACCCAGGAAGTGAAGGTTGCAGCAAGCCAAGATGGTGCCACTGCACTCCACCTGGGGCAACAGAGTGAAACTCTATCTCAAAAAAAAAAAAAAAGTTGCCAATCACAAAAGACCACATATTATATGATTCTATTTATATGACATGTCTACATAGACAGAATATGATTGCTGAGGATCAGAGAAGGTGGAAATGGAGACTAGCTGCTAATGAATACAGGGTTTCTTTTGGGGATAATAAAAATGTTCTAAAACTACTGGCAATGATTATTGTATAAGTCTATGAATACACTACAACACACTGGATAGTACACTCTAAATGGGTATATAGTATAGTGTGTGATTTACATCTCAATAAAGCTACTTTGAGGCTGGGCATGGTGGCTCACCCCTGTAATGCCAACACTTTGTGAAGATTAAGGAGGAGAACCATGTGAAGCCAGGAATTTGAGACCAGCCTGGCCGACACAGCACAACTCCACCTCCACAAAAACTCAAACCAAAAAATTAGTCAGAGCCAGGTGTGGGGGCTCACACTTGTAATCCCAACACTTTGACAGGTCAAGGTGGGTGGACCAACTTGAGGTCAGGAGTTCAAGACCAGCCTGGTCAACATGACAAAACCCCATCTCTACTAAAAATACAAAAATTAGCTGGGTGTGGGGTGCACGCCAGTAATCCCAGCTACTTGGATGACTGAGGCATGAGAACAGCTTGAACCCAGGACGCAGAGGTTGCAGTGAACCAAGACAGTGCCACTGCACTCTAGCCTAGGTTACACAGCAAGACTCTGTCTCAAGAATGAATGAATAAATAAATAAACAAATAAAAATAAAATTATCTCAATATAAAAAGATATAAAAAAGAACATCGATTATAAAAAATTATGAATGGGATAATTGATAATTTAACACAGTCTCAATTAACATGATACCATTCTAAATTATCAAAATATTTAACACAAAATACATAAACATTTTCCATGATTTATTATCTGTCTATCCTAAGAGACAAATCTTATTTTATTTTGAGACAGGGTCTCTTCTGTTGCCCAGGATGAGTGCAGTGGCATGATCATGGCTCACTGCAGCTTCAACCTCCCAGTTTCAAGCAATCCTCCTACCTCAGCCTCCCAAATAGCTGGAACTACAGGCATGCACTACCACATCTAGCTAATATTTGTAATTTTTATAGAGATAGGGTTGTGCTGTGTTGCCCATGCTGGTCTCGAACTCCTGGACTCAAGCAATCCTCTCACCTCACCCTCCCAAAGTTCTGGGATTACAAGAGTTAGCCACCGCATGCAGTCAATAAATCATGTTTTAAAAGGCATCAATTAGACACTTTTAAACTAAGTTAAATTTGATTATTTAGATCCTCTCCATGGTACAAGGCTGCATCATAAGTCCATTCTTTCCTTACTGATTGAATGGTAGATCTCCAGGTAATTTTCAAAATTAGAAATTAGTCAGAATTGAATTCCTTGAAATTGATTTCCCTAATTAGTGCTAAAACTGTAGCTTAGTTTAATCTCACTGCCAAGTTCTTTCTCCCACACTTAAAGCTAATCCACTCAAAGAAAACTTAGCTGTAGTGCAGTCAGCCAACAAATGGCACTATACAAAAAGGCCACACAAGAACTCTCCTGTAAGCCATGAAACAAAATATCCTCAAGTCAAAAACCAAGATATACTTTCCTTAAACAAGGAATTACTTTCTCTGGCAACACTGCAGTATTGCTTACCATTTTCAGATGACAAGTTTTCCAAAGCTTTATCTAAGTACTTCATAAAATATTTTGTGTGTATCTTTTAGACAAACTTTGTTTTCAAACTCACAGAGAACTGTTTCTTTTTATGAAATAGTCACTCTCTACCAACTGTATTTTCCCTTAAAACAGACACTTTAAAATATATGCAGTGTAACTTTTGTTGATTTTTCCCTACATATGTAATTAATGTTTTGATAGTTCCATATGGCCTGATACTTTTAAAATCTGTCTCAAGGTTTTTCAATATCTTCCCCCCTGACAACATAAAAACACTAGAGCAAGAAGTTGAATCCAATCTCTCTCCCCAACTGCAAGATCCTGTTGTGGTGATCCCCACACTTATCACCATTGGCTCCCATGAATAAAGTATGCCTTGCCAACTTATTAAAAAAAAAAAAAACACGGAGCAAAAATATTAAAACACTCAAGGGGAAATTTTTTTTAAAAGCAAACCTAAGCAAGTAGGCACCTCTTGATAGCCAAAAAGAATTAATATATTAAAGATAAAAAGTTGGTCACTAGGAGAAAGATGATTATAGAATAAGAATAAAAGGAAACAGTGACTGACCTTACTTTAAGCTTTGCCCCATAACGTGGTAGATCACAGTGACTGCCTTTGGGAAAGAAACCTGGGAGAACTCATGGTTGAAGGAGTCAGATTCACTTTATCTGACAGAGCATTTCACAGACAATATTCTACTATATGAATAGAGTAAGCTGAAATGGAAGAAGGAGTTATACCCCACCACACTTCTTTAAATGTCATAATTTTACCAGCCACAAATAATTAGTGAATTTCTATGTATGTAAATGTAGCTCCTCTTGGCTCTGTTAGAATAAAGATGAGTCTCATCCTAGATCTCTGATCTGATTTCACATCTATTTCCTGTGTGCTTATCATCGGTCTTTTTCTCCTGAACAGTCTCCCAAATTAAGAGCATCTAGAACAGGTTACATTAAATGTCCTAGACCATACAGAGGCATACTGGATCAACAAAGAAGAGTATAACAGACAGCTAGTTTTATAATGAACTATTTAATTCAAGGAGGCTACGAAGAATTCAATAACAGTAGCTTTCCCCTGAGTGTTTTAAATGTATTGTTTCATTTAATTCACACAACAATCCATACCGACATTTTACATTTGGAAAAGCTGAGACACAGAGAGGTTCAGGTGATTTGCCTAAGATCTCAGCAGAGGCTTAAATCTAGACCTTTCAGACTTTATACAACAAATGGGTAGCCACTGTACATTATTATCAACAGGCAGCAGACGTTCTAGAATAGTAAATCAGAAAGCAGTTCCTTAAAGTTTATGAAATACAAATTTCTCTACTTTAGTAACTAATTTAAAAAGCAGATATATGCATTGATAATATAACCCACTTAAACATTTTTTGTATTACTAGTAAATAATTTCCTAAAAGCAAAATTCTCATCTTTTTATATTGGTAAAGGCCCTTGAAGAATAAACATATTACTAATTTATTATCTACACTTGAACATCACCATTCACAAAGATTAAATTAGAGCACTCCAAACTAGCTTTAAGTCAGTCAAAAAAAAAAAAAAAAAATCAAACATAGTTACGTGTCCAAGGAAAAAATGATTCACAGTTTCTTAAAAGGTACCTTCTACCTGTTTCCTGTTCCTTCCCAAAGAATACTACTAACCGTAAATTAGCAATAGCTCCATCATCCACCACACGTTCCTATGTATTCAAACTTCTTCTACAAAGGAGTAAATAAACTTTTAAATCTTCTAGTATTACCCTAGTGTCCACTGTCTTCTGGCATTATAAGATAAAGAAATTAAATTCTATTTCTTAAAAAAAAAAAGTCTTTTCTTTCAATGTATTTTATAAAAGCTGCAAAGGTGAAAGACTCTAAGCCATAATTAAGTCACCTATGAAAAATTACCATAGAAAAACTGTTCATTTGTTAAAAGGATATAATTTGGAGGAAGAAAGTTCCAGCTCAAGACTTGATTGGCAAGTGCAAGGTAACGCTGAAATACTGAAGACATCTGAGCATTGAGGTTTTCCCGCCTGCTGAACTCCTGCAGAACTTCAACAGTTAACATGAAGATCTGACGAAGGTCTTCTTCCTATAGTCAATAAATCACAAATATTTTATATGAAAAATTTATTAGAAATGTATTCCCTTTTAGAACCACGAAACAAAACAAACAAAAACCTTAACATTTCCAATGGAAAGCACTATTTCCTTAAGAACATTTTCCATTTTTAGGCCTCTACTTGTAATTTACATCACAGTATGCTTTCAAGTGACGCCAGCTGTAATACATTTACTCCAATATAAACGTTACTTCCATAAAAAAGAGAGTCTTTGACAACTACTGCAGAGCTGGAGGAGTCAGTTGCTATAGTGCAGAGCCCTAGGATTTAAGCCAATGCCTTCACATAACTTTGCTCCAGAGCCAAACAATACATACGAGACAAAGAACCCACACCATCTGCAATAACATTTGAAATACACAGCCTTCTGGCATTCCTCCAGACCTATTTTTAAGGCCAGCAGAGTCCCATCAATTGAATTAGTTATATCTAAACACAATAAGAAATAAATAATAAACTAAAGATCTTTATAGAAGTATTGTTTTTAAGACAAGAATTATTAAACAAGTAATTTTAAACCATCAACTACATTCATCAAACCTATCACTTTACTATATCCTTTGAAATCACAAAACAAATCCTAAAGTACAGGCTATCATTCAACCACATAAAATAAATACTCTCATGTCATTAGGAATAGAGTAAAAAGTGAATGATCCAGTAATTAGAATTCAAGAAGAAAAATACCAATACCTGAAAAACTCTTTTGCAGTTACCATGGAATTCCATGCTCAATCCAATGTTGCTAGTTTTACTTGAACTTGAAAATTCACTCAATAGTGCAGTCAGAATAGAACAGGCCAGAGTTTGCTGTAATTATTTGATAAGAAATAATTGTGAGGCATTACTTTTTCAATGCTTTGAAATGCATTTGAACAGAATGAAACAAAATGGAACATTTTCTCCCTATCTTTAGATCTTTCACATATCTTTAGATCTCATAACAACCAGTCAAAAAATTAGATATGACAAAATAAACATTAGCTCTCCTTTCTAAGTCGTCTGGTAAGTGTTAATAGTACTTCCTCAACTGCAGTTAAGATGTGAACTCAGGATACACTGTTCCTATTCAATCGTGGAATTCAAACAATATTTCAAAATAATCAATGTTGAAGGTACTATTTTGTTAAATTTGCAGAACAATCTATATCCTCATTTTACATTTGAGAGAACGGAGTCAGAGAGAGTAAGTACTTATCTAAGGCCAGCTGAGATTTGAACACATTTGTTTGACTCCCTGTTCTGTTTGTAAAATGCATTCCCAAACATTTTTGGGATGTTGAAACAGATGAAAAGTGAAACAGATTTTATAGTGTCCAAAATATTACAGCCAGGTAATACCTAAAAGTTTTTAAATAAAAAAAATGAAGATATTCCTTCTCATTGGTTCTATCCAACAGGCTCCTAATATCAACTAATTGATTTTATTCTCAGACTATTTAGAGTCAAGGTACCAAGGATGGAAAGAGGATACAAATTATTTTGGCAACTTTCCAGGAGTTAAACAGAAATATGCACACTACCTCTGAACAACCGAAAGATTAAAGTCAAGATACTATTTATGCAAGCTTATCCAACAGCTGAACACAGTCATATCCACCCACCAACTGCAACATCTTTGTTCAGAAATGCTTCTGATGTCAGTACCTTGACCTTACAGACACTTATCATGGCAAATCTTAGTGAATAATTTAATGATATCAAATTCCTAAAAATTGGCATGAAATATGCTGAAGGTGAGTGATGACTCCACGAGTGGCTAATAGACTATTTGTCCATTTTGTCTATGTCTAAAATATTCCTTTAAAAAATGTAAACACAGGCTGGGTGCAGTGGCCTGTAATCCCAACACTTTGGGAGGCTGAGGCAGGCAATCACCTGAGGTCAGAAGTTCGAGACCAGCCTGGGCAACATGGTAAAACACCATCTCTACTAAAAATGTAAAAAAAATTAATCAGCTGGGCATGGTGGTAGGCACCTGTAGCCTCAGCTACTTGGGAGGCCAAGGCAGGAGAATTGCTTGAACTCAGGAGGTGGAGGTTGCAGTCAGCTAAGATCATGCCACTGCACTCTAGCCTGGGTAACAGAGTGAGACTCCACCTCAAGGAAAAAAAAAAGTAAACATAAAATTAAATTTTTATTTGCCTCTTAATCTCAACTAAAACAAGCATGACATATAGCCAATATTTATGAAAGGCACAAAACCCTATAGATTAAAGAAGTTTCTCAGACTTTTCCACACTTGGAAATGCAAATTCTCTAGGGAATCTAGGGGTATGATCAAAGATCCCTTCTGCAACAATAAAAGTTCTCTGAATGCTACTGGTTTGGCATAAACATACACATTTTGTAATTTTACTTCAAAATACATGACTTAATATAAAAACGTCCCTTCCCCCCAAAATCTTCAAAACCTCCCAAAATCCAGGCACTTGGATAGAAAAAAAGTTGATCACATATTCCTGTTATTTTACTGTTTAAAGAGACCTCAGAAATTCCGAAAGTACAATCCCTTTGTTTTCAGTTAACAAAATCATTAATTTTCAAAAAAATTTTTGTAAATGATTAATTATTATAGTGCCAGCAATTAACACTAGACAGATACATTTAAATAACATCAGGATTCTACTATAAACATGATTTTTAATCACAGCTAGGCTTTGGTGGGGAAAGTAGATGTTAAATCAAAGTAATGAGATTCAGAGAAAAAAGCTAACTCACAATGATCTAACGATGAATCCCAAGATCCTAGGATCCTGAAAATTATTTTTCATTTAGACTTAGCTTTTCACTTATCCTTTCTAAGACTTCATTCAATAAAACATTATAAACACAGCTAAATGTTTGAGAAAACTTGTCTTACTAAAACAGGAAATAAACTTCAAAATCTCAGATGAGATAACCTATTGAAAACAGAATTCACACATAACATATAAAAACCTACAAGCTGAAAGAACCTAGAAGCACTCATTAAATACAAATCCTTATTCTTACAAATAAATTATACACATACTAATGTTTCACATGTAATTTACAACTTTCCACAGAATGTTTTTTACTGGATTCACCACAAAATGGCTTATTTTAAAACTATCATCATATTCATATTTTCAGGAATATCTCTCTAATTAATGATTACAACCGTATATACTCAAAATAAAGCTTTACTTTTTCACCTGAAATAAACATTTCCCAAAATAACGCAGATGTGTTTGCGGTCAAGATAAGAAACAAATGAGTAAAGGAGAGGGGCAGGGCAATGACAGGTGAAAGCCCTGCTAAAGCTACTCCTGCAACTACAAACTTCATCATACAAAACAAGGCATGGAACGGCTTTTCAGCTGTAGCAATGAATAGTTCCCTCCAAAACAGCAACTAATGGAGTATAAATTCACCCATAAAAACAAGTACATTCTTAATCGACGAGAATTTAGAACAAAATGCACTATATAGACTTAGTTCCCTGAACACGTAAGAATCTTTTGCTTTTAAATAATTTTTTCATCCTACAAAAATATACTCTATCTTAGAAAAACTAGAAATTATAGAAAAGCATAAAGAAAATAAAATTGTCTACAACCCTACCATATAGGAGTTATTACTCTAACATTTATAGTTTTCCAATTTTTTAATGCACAGATATAAATTTTTATATACCACTGCTATCAACCCACATATAGTTTTACATTCTACTTTCCCACTTTGTACCTATGAAATAAAAAAAATTTTTAAACAAGTGTGTTCTATTTAAATATACCACTTAAAGACTTAAGAAATACGTAAAAATAAATTATCATACAGCATCGTCAGAACTATTCCAAGAAATCAAATATTCTAGCTTTAACTGTACCTACAATTATCAGCTTTCAAAGAACTAAAATTCAACAGGATATTTTTATGATGAAAAGATACCAAATAGTTTAAGCTCTCCTTAATTTGGAAATCCTGTAGGAATATAAGATTACCATCATAAATATTAATCATACTACACTGGTCTGGCTCAAAGGTGCCAAATGAATAGAGACTCCTGGAGAATGATGAATAATTAAACACTGATTGCACATTTAAGAGAGCAAAGTACTTCAACATATATCAACAAAGTATTTCTCCCTATTCACAGGGGAATTGAATATATTACTAAATGTCTAGGACTCATTTCTAAATATGTTTGCTCACTTTCAATATTTAATTATGGATTAAATCCCCTTAAAATGAAGTTACTCTCACACTGTGTTGTAATGAAGATAGCTAGGGAAGCAAGCCAAAAATAAAACTCCCAAGGGAGAACAGAGGACAGCTTCTTCCCAGGACAGAGAGTGGAAAGAAAAAAAATTAAAGCATCAAATCTGCCTATGGGAGATCACCAGCTTTCGCTTTTCTTACCCTTGAAGAATGTTCTTATCTGCCTCCTTCAGATTGTTAGGTCTCAACGAGCATCCCAAGTGCACTACCCACTAATTCACCCTCTACTGACCAGTACCTTCAAGTGCTGCTTCTCTGGCCTTTGTCAAAGTCAGAGCTAGATATTTTTCCATATCAGAGACACTGGCTCTGACACTTAAGACAGCCGGAAACAAAAGCTGTTGTAATGAATGTCAGTGAAATCAGATCAAAGTTGACTAACTGATTGATAAGAGTATAAGATTGCCATACTAAAATTCACAGGAATTTTCCCAGTATAAAACACCACTAGTACAATTCTTAGATTTCCAAGAGGTTAATACAACAATGCTTCACTTATCTAAGATCATAAAGAATTAAGCTAATATCTGATAATTTTATAAATGCGGCAAGCAAACATTTTTAATGAAACTTACTTCCTATCCATTTTTCTTAAAGAATTCTTTATATGGCAATTATTATATGATATTATAGTAAAGTGACTACTTGGAAGCTACTACAACATAAGGGCCTTCCACCTGCTGTCATCGTGGTGCCAGATCCCCATGCTAGTTGATTTATGTCTGCTTTATAGCTTTTCTCAATCATCCTTTGTTGTTGTCTACCACTCACTGCTGCTGGCAACTTGACTACCACTAACAGGTAGTTCTAAATTGATCATTTTCATTTGCCCACCAGTTAGAAACCAAATAAAATTTATTAAAATTACATCTAAAATAAACTATAAATAAAAACACTCTGCAGAACTCTTTTAGGAGTTCAATGTAAGGATCCTGTTGTTTGAATCAACCAGAAAATTTGGGCGCTAACAGTCCAAGATTTCCTTCTTCAAATAACTGTGGTCAGAGCCCTTCATATACCTTGACTTCAGCTTCTAATCTATAAGGGGTACCACCCTCTACCCTGCATAATCTGCATGAGTGTCCTAAGGCTCAAATTGGATAATGCTTAAAAATACTGGTAATTACACCAGGTTATAAAAAGGTAAAGTAGCAGCAGTATTTTTTATCATTATCATAAAAAATAACAACCACTTATTTCAGCTTTTTTTATTCTATTCCTTGATGGTCTACATTCTGCAAAATTAAAATTATAAATGTGCTGCACCACTTAAGAAAGAGAGCTATAACTGAAGCTGTATCATTAAAGCAATGTAGTAGATGTTCAATAAATGCTGTTTGAATTAATGAATCAATGTTTGCTTTTACGCCCAGCACTATTTTAACACAACAGAAGTCGGAAAATAAACGATGTGTTCCCTATTTTTTGGTTGTTTATAAATTTCTACAAGAAATTTTTAATATGTCAAAGAAGTAGAAGACATGCAATGAGGTTTCAAGGTTATTTTAAAAAATCTAATTGTCTTGTTTCATTGAAGTACTGAAAATTCACAATTCATGGGTAACAATTTAAGTACCTCTTATCTTCACATTGAAAGTCTTACAGCAGCATTCTCAGTTATTTCTAGCAAAAGCCATTAATTTCAAGCTAGTGAAAAAATGCCCTTCAAAGATAGCTTGCCTTACTCACCAGCTTACTGTCACAAGCCCAAGATACTCAAACACTAACTCCAGCTGACAAAATAAAATACTCTTGTTCAGAGAGAGGATTGTCTCTTATAATAGCCTGGCTCTTACCCCAGGAGCCTTATTACCAAGAATAAACTTTATGAAAGGTTGCCATACATAAAGCAGACTTCCAGCTGCTCTTCTATGCAAACATCAATGAGACTTATGATAAGAGAGATTAACTTGGCTATCACATCCAGGGACTGCCATAGACAAGTGAATTTCTCACCCACTTCTCTCTAGCATGGCAAAGAGGAAGAAAGGAGACTTAAATGCTATATTAAACAGCTTTAAAAGTGATTTAATGTATGCCCACTGCTTTCAAAGGAAATAAGACAAATATGAACTATATTAAAATTTTGGCTTAAAATAAAAAAAGTTTGCTCCTTTCCTAAGAAGGCAAGTTTCCATACCCCTCCCAAATTAGTATTAACAGCAGGTCCGACTCTACTGCAAACTGAAATGAAATAGCCATGGTAACCTTTACAATCATGGAAGGAAAACATCGTAACTGCCCACAGGCAGGAAATAACATATTATTTAATAATCATACAAGCATGAATTAACTAAGAATACATCATTTTTAAAATACAAATTAGATATAATCCTACCATAAAACTATCTGTAGAGAACCAAGTCTATAAGATACTTCTGAAATCATTTAAAGAAAACCCACGGTGTTGATTACCTATATTTTAAAAAAAAACGCATGAATTGGCTGAGTGTGGTGGCTCATGCCTATAATCCCAGCACTTTGGGAAGCTGAAGTGGGCCGATCACTTGAGGCCTGGAGTTCAAAACCAGCCTGGCCAACATGGCGGAACCCCATCTCTACTAAAAATATGAAAATTAGCTGGCATGGTAGCATGCGCCTGTAGTCCCAGCTACTCAGGTGACTGAGGCAAAATAATTGCTTGAACCCAGGAGGCAGAGGTTGTAGTAAGCTGAGATGGTGCCAATGTACTCCAGCCTGGAGTACCTCAGCAGAGCAAGACTGTGTCTCAAAAAAAAAAACCGTACACACAAATGATTAGTTTTCACTCACAGATAATCGGATAATACATAAACATTTTCTCCTGCTTTTCCCTCCCTAAAATATAGTTTGATAGAAAAAGAGATGATTTACTATAGTTCACTTCCCAATATCCTATGAAGAAAGCAGTGAGAGACTACTGGGGAGACAGCACAAATTCTTGCTGAATAAAAGTGAATATTACCACATTTATTTTACATCTTAGTGAACTAATGCCTAGAGAAGTTAATTTAAATTAAGTTGGCAATAAATGGCAGAGCTGGGATTTAAACCCAAGGATGAATCCAAAATCATTCTTCTATTATACTACACTGCGCCTAAATCTGTATAAATGCAAATGTAAGACTAGTACAGGGAAATGGACCATGAAAAATCAATTCTTGGCTAGGCATGGTGGCTCACACCTATAATCCCAACATTTTGGGAGGCTGAGACTGGAGGATCACCTTGAGGTCAGGAGCTTAAGACAGCCTGGGCAACACAGTGAGACCCTGCATTAACAAAAAATTTTTTTTAATTAGCCAGGTACAGTGGCATGCATCTACAGTCCCAGCTACTCAGGAAGTTGAGGTAGGAGGATCACTTGAGTCCACGTGATCAAGGTGGCAGCGAGGTATGAACATGTCACTGCACTTCAGCCTGGGCAGTAGAGTGAGATTCTGTTTCTAAAACAACAAAACAAACAAACGAAACCAATACTCTTTGAAAGCGAAGGGAGAAAAGCCAGATTACACACAGACAGTTTTTGGCCAATAGAGGCGGATGGAAATGTCTTTCTAGAAGAGGTATGAAGGAAAAATTAGTTACCTAATTAATAGTTCACGAAGTCAACCCTTTCTTCATCTATAGAAACCTTTAGTTAATTTTCTCTACTTTTCAAATCTCTCTTAAAAATCACCTTTTTAAGAAAAGTTTCTAGACAGTACTAAATCAATGTTCTGATCATTTATCATTCTCCTTTCTTTCAGAGGTTTTAATCCTCTTGTTCACTGCCATTTATGTCTGAGACTAAGAAAATCTTAAATTCTTGAATGACTTACAAATTTTTTGTTTTTTTAGACAGAGTCTCATTCTGTGACCCAGGCTGGATTGCAGTGGCAAGATCTCAGCTCACTGCAACCTCCGCCCCCCAGATTCAAGCAATTCGCCTGCCTCAGCCTTGCGAGTAGCTGGGATTACAGGCGTGTGCCACCAGGCGCAGCTAACTTGTATTTTTAGTAGAGACGGCATTTCACCATGTTAGGATGGTCTTGATCTCCTGACCTCATGATCCATACACGTGGGTCTCCCAAAGTGCTGGGATAACAGGCGTGAACCACTGCACCCAGTCCCATTTACAAATTCTTAACAGTCCAACTAGAGAGGAAGATATATGAAAATGCCGTAACCTCATTTTTTAGGCCTTCCTAACAAGCTAGTTTCAAGCTACTGGGCAAGGACAAGCAGGGACAGTGTATGCATTTAACCTGACTTATAAGGTAGACAATATTTTTTAACATTTAATGTTTTTAATGTAGTCACCAAGATAAATTCACCCCGCAATCCTGAAATTACATTCTATTTCCAACTACTCATTTCCTACTGCTACAGTCGTTCTCAGCCCTGGTATTAGAAATTTGACTTTTGGCCAGGTATAATGACTCAAACCTATAATCTTTGGGAGGCAAAGGCAGGTAGATTTCTTGAGCCTAGCAGTTGGAGACCAGCCTGGGCAACATAGCAAAACCCTGTCTCTACAAAAAATAGGAAAAAATCAGCTCAGTGTGGTGGTGCGCACCTGCAGTCCCAGCTACTCAAGAGGCTGACGTGGGAAAGCCACTTGAGCACGGGGAGGTCAAGGCTGCAGTAAGCCAAGATTGCGCCACTGCACTCCAGCCTAGGCAACAGAGTGAGACCCAGTCTCAAAAACAAAACAAAACAAAACGAAAAACACAGAAAGAAAGAAATTTGACTTTAAAAAAAACTCGAGTCTTTCATGAGAATATCACATTTATCTCTATTCTCAAAATGTACACACTATGAAAAGAGCAAAATCTTCTCTAAGTGAACAACAGCGACATCTGTTCCAACCATTGTCAGAAGATCAGTTATTTCAGTGGCTCAAAAAAATCCAATTGCCAGGTTGCAGTGGGACTAATTTTTGTGCTTAGTCAAATTAACCAAGGGGAAAGGAAGCAGAGAACTCAATTCCTTAGTATGTGCTCATTCCTGAGAGAGGCAAGGGACTCTTGATCCTTTGCCTGCACCATCCCAGTATCAACAAGCTACTCGTAGGGCAGGCCGCAGAAATTCTACCCCAGTATCAAAATCCTGGCTGGAATGGTCACCAAACTAACAAGGGAAAGGTATTAGTCATAAACAGATAGATCTCAAAGTTACTAATAATGTTCCTCAAGTTTAAATCCTGTCTATCACAATGAGCTGGACTCACTGCAGACCATCAAAATGAAACAAGATGTTCTTAAGTGAAATCTAAAATATGAAGTGCAACTTGATTCAGAGCATTAGAGACAAGGATAATATTTCCAAGTAGCAGCCTCAGTTGCAAACCTTTTCTATGCTAGTTTTATCTATGTATATCCACCACTTCTTTTTCCCCAAACTCCTGATGATGACCACCATTGGATAATGCACATGGCCATTAGTTTGGAAGCAAATTCTAACAAAAATCACAGAAATGACAAGATTACCATTATGTAACTCATGTAGGCACTGCTGAAGCATCAGCATCTCATGAACAAAGCTTATAATATTTGGTATCTTATATTTGGTATATAGAATATTATGGTATATTAAATTATATTTTATAACAATTAAAATAACAATTATGAATATTTATGGAACATGGAAAATACAAAATCAAATGAAAAAGCAAAGTATACCACATCTATATTATGTACATATATTAAAAAAGACTAGAAGAAAACCTGAACAAATGAAAACTGCTTGACTGATGGCTTTTTCACTTTTTCTTTTAGGTAGATATCCATTACTCTTACTATAATGTTATTTGTGTAACAGAAAATATAAATTGTTAATATTTATAAATACAAATAGCACACTTACCACAGTGGGATTGCCACTGCTTATCAACTGGCTGACTTCATGAAAAATGCTTTTGCAGTCAATTGATTTATCTAATGATCCTCTTTTTACAATTACTGCTACTGCTAGTAGAATCTGTTCCCGAACATACTTTTGAAGGCTGTAAAACATAAAAATCATTGTGAAAACATTTACCTAAATCTAACACAAGAATACTCCCAAACTTCTCTCTATGCCTGACACTACTAATAACACTGCTGACATGTGAGAGTAGTAAAGCCAAATGGTTACGTCCAGACTCCAAAGCCAGAAGGCCTGGGGGTTCGATCCTAGGCTCCATTGTGGACTGGCTGTATGACCCTGGGGAAGACAGTTAGCATTCAGGGCCTTGGTTTTCCCATCTGTAAAATGACAATATCACTACTAGCGTTGTTATAAGGGTTAAATGTTTCTAGAATTGTGCCCAGTACATACTAAGCACTATACGAGTGTTATTTGCTTCAGGCAATATTATTCCAATAGATGTAAGTCAGCTCCCTGTTAAATGTTTGTAGGGAAAAAAGAACCACTAAGATATTAAATTCCACTGGTTTTGAGATAAATTCTGTCTAACCTACATCTACAACCACTAATCTAATCCTAAATCTCATTTCCCTTTAATGTGAAAAGGCAACATGCTAGCTATCCAAAATACATTATTATGGAAACATAAAATTGTAAAACACACACACACACACACACACACACACACACTCAAAATGTTCATATCTAGGTTCTGCTCTTCCATGTGATGACAGAAGCACCCATCTGAAGTGCAGGCATTCTGCCAAGCCCATTTGACCACAAGGGCACAGAAACTTAATTGACTTTTCACAATCTTTTCTGAAAGATAAAGATCAGAAAACATAACCCCAAACTTTATAATCTAGTCTCTAGAATGCCACAAAGATACAACCACCATGTGCCCCTGGAATAAACCCAAACCTCTTAACATGGCTTATAAGCAGTAGGAACCATCCTAACTTTCCTAGGACAGCCTCAATTTATCTGTTGCTCCAAATAATTATTATTAGTTCTTTATTTCACTGTCAAAAGTGTCCCAGTTTGGACATCCACCTACAGCCACCTGGTGGCTGCTCCTCTCCCTGACTTCCGCCCTTCCACATGCACTCACAACTGCAGAGACATCGACCTTTTAGTTCCTCACTGAACACTCTTGCAGTTTCAGGCCTCTGAACTTCTATTCCCTCTACGAAGATTGTGATGTCACTTTCTCCAGAAAGTTATAACTAAGGGTTCCCACAGCATCCTCACATGACATGACATATCTGTTACCACTGTTCACTGGCTCACAGATCAGTCACCCATTCTAAGCACACTGACATATGCAAAGCACACTGCCTGCGACAGAATAAGCCTTTATTAGATATTTATACAGATGAATAAACGTGTCTCCCTCCTGTCAAGACTAAAGTGAAAAAACATTCCTTCAAAATATAGGCTTGAACCAGTCATCTTTCATTCATTAAGCAAATAAACGCAGAGATCCTACTAGGCCTAAGAACATTAGTTGGTCAAAGGGAATATTTGTACTTTTAGGGGTACAGAATAGTTTCATAGGCACCAACTTCTACTAGAAAATGTACATAAAGCTGAAGACTATGACTACGAATATACACAAAGCTAGTTTTAAATATCTCTATTGGCAAGAATTAAAAACTATTAGAATAAAAATTAGCTACCATTTATTAAATGCTTATGATATGCAAGAATTTATATGAATTAATTTCACAAATATTAACACAGCTAATCCTTATAATACTACTACTATTATTCACTCCATTTAAAAATCAAATCAGAAAATTAAGGCACAAAGAAGTAATCTGCCCAATGTTGCAGAGTTAAGTGGCAGAAGTGGGGTGCAAATCCCTTTCTTGACCACTATGCTATACTTGGCTCTTTAATAAAGGGCATTGTGCATTTCACTCTATACAAATTTTATTTCACTTAAGAGGAAGAAAAAAGAAAAAAATTCTGTGCATGCAATGGGAAGCACACAACATTATTGATGTAATTGTCTACTATATAGCCTATAGTATTCTACCTATGCAGTATACCAAAAACATTTAACTTGACTCTAATCCACACTGTAGGGCGTTCTACAAGATACAGATATCTGTGTCATTAAAGGCAAAAACGAGCACACAATAATTCTAGATTAAAAGAGACAAAAGAGACATGACAACTAAATACAATATAATCTCTGGCTCACCTGGATTCAAGAAAATAACCTACTGTACCTAAATAAAGCAAATATTAACAGATCTGAAGCGACAGACTGCAATACAAAAAAAAACTACAAAAAGGATTTAAATATTATTCAGGCAACTGGGAAACTCAGAATATGAAATCAGAATTATTAGCTCATATAAACATACCAATTATATCAGGAGTATTGAGACTATACTTTCAGAAGAGACATGTTCAAGGACTTTAAGGCTAAAGTATCATTATGTCTGTGGTACTCTCAGATAGTTAGGGATAAAAAAATGCATATATACATAAGAGAGAAATCAAATGTGACAAAATGTTAACTGAGCCTCTACTGGAAAAAGGGTTGTGTGTCTTCATCAGACAATTCTTTTAACTTTGCTCAAAGTTTACCATTGCACTCCAGCCTGGGCAACACAGTGAGACTCTGTCTCTTAAAAAAAAGTTTCCTGTAATCCCAGCACTTTGGGAGGCTGAGGCAGGCAGATTACGAGGTCAGGAGTTCAAAACCAGCTTGACCAACATGGTGAAACCCCATCTCTACTAAAAATACAAAAATTAGCTGGGTATGGTGGTATGTGCCTGTATTCTCAGCTACTCAAGAGGCTGAGGCAGGAGAATCGCTTGAACCTGGGAGGCAGAGGTTGCAGTGAGTCAAGATCACGCCATTGTACTCCAGCCTGGGCGACAGAGCAAGATTCCATCTTGGGGGGCTGTGGGGAATACATACATACATATGTATGTATATAACCTATTTCAATGTGGAACCCTACAATCAACTTTACAATCAAGCTAATTAATTTAGCTTCTAAATTAATCAAAATGATTTTTAAAATGAGATTATTTTGGGCCAGGCATGGTGGCTCATTCCTATAATCCCAGCACTTTGGGAGAATGAGGCAGGAGGATTGCTTGAGCTCAGGAGTTCAAGACCAGCCTGGTCAACACAGCAAGACCCTGTCTCAATTTCAAAAAATTAAAAGGAAAAAAAAAAAAGAGAGAGATTATTTTGGATAATACAAGAGACCACACACATACACATAATGAAAATCTGTTACACATTTAAGTCTACCACAGTCTCTAGAGTTCAGTGGTTCTCAGGCTGGGGATAACTAAGCAGCTCCAGAAAAGAAAACCTGTCTAGTTGGCCAGAAGCTCCCTGCTGGCCCTGACTCCTTAAGGAAGGTTAGTCCAGATGATGATGGCTACAGCAGCCCGAGCTTTTACTTCCCCCCAGGCACTGCGCTGAACTGTCTCATATAATCCTAACGCCAACCTTATGAGATGGGTCCCTGTTCTACAGCTAAAACAGAATATTAAAGAGAAGACTTTATGTTACTTTCCCAAGGTGACATAAATAGATAGTTCTTCAGAAAACTAACATTTTAGGCCTAGAAGCCAAAAATAATTTTTTTAACATTCCTACATATAAACTCCTATAAACACAGAGGCCCTAAGGCTTATTTTCTTTATTACATAAATATAAATAGATGTGAAGGTTTCTCAACTTGTGTTCAACAATAAGTATACTATCACAATTGATTTCAAAATATTTTAGTAGGGTAAAGAAAAATAGGAAAACAAGTATCATTTTAGTAGAATTCAACAAAACACAAACCTCCTCCACGGTTGCAATTGATAATTCAAATTTTGATGTGTCTGGGTTACACTGTATGCAAAACAATGGACAAAATAACGGAACAAACATTTGCTGATATTGTCAAGACCTCTACTCACCTCTACTAAACTTTCTTTAGGTACAGAGGGGTCAAAAGAAAAACAGCCCTGTCAGATCTAGCAACTATGGTCAAATAAAAACAACAAAAAGGCAAACTAGTATCACATCCAAATGGACCCACCAAACAAAAATCAATTAATCAATCCAGCATGACAGAGAAAAGAAAGGTTTCAAGCCAGGGACAAGTCCTTGTTATTCTAAGAATAATGGGAAAAATACTAGCCATGCCCTCCTCACAAACATGTATATGCACTTATCTACAGGACACATCATCCACTAAACCTGCAATACTAATAGGCTACAGAAACCTTGCCTTTGTTCTCTCCTGCATTTGTTTTTTGTATGTAAGGCAGTTGGCAGTTAACAAAGTGCTGAAGTCATGTCAGATATTATTAAATATTATTAACTAAGACTGCCAGGATACAGTCAACAGAAACAAATGCATGACAGTATGCTCTAAAATTAAAACTGTATGTATATACCTATTGCCATTAATCACCATTCCTAAGCACACATATTTCTGATTACATAACAAAATTTTTTCTTCAATGACTCTGGAAATGAGAACATCTACAATTGCACAAACAGTAAACACACAAGGGCGTTGTCTAGTCTTAAAAGAATACATGGTCTTTGGGGAACTTAATGAAAAAAGGTAAATAGTAAATCAATTTCTCCCCAAAAGTTATGTGGCTGATAGTTTTCCTCTTTTTTTTTTCTTTTTTTTTTGAGACAAAGTCCCACTCTGTCACCTACTGTAACCTCCACCTCCCAGGTTCAAGTGATTCTCCTGCTTCAGCCTCCCAAGTAGCTGGGACTAGAGGCATGCACTACTACGCCTGGCCAATTTTTGTATTTTTAGTAGAGATGGGGTTTTACCACATGGCCAGGCTGGTCTTGAACACTTGGCCTCAAATGATCTACCCGCCTCGGCCTCCCAAAGTCCTGGAATTACAAGCAAGGGCCAACGCACCCGCCCTCATATTTAAAAAAAAAAAAAAAAAATCACTCAAGAAATAAATGTACAAAATTTTGTAATACATTTGAGAAATACAGATATGTATAATGTAAAAAGAAAATTTACTTTCACCCCATTCCTCAAAACTGATCCTATTTTCAATGGAAGCTACTTAAAGATTTTGTAACTTCTTATAGAACCCTTCCCATGCATATTGTTTTTTTCAAGGCGGAGTCTCGCTCTGTCATCAGACTGGAGTGCAGTGGTGCTATCTTGGCTCACTGAAACCTCTGCCTGCCAGGTTCAAATGACGCTCCTGCCTCAGCCTCCCGAGTAGCTGGGACTTCAGGTGCGCACCACCATACCCAGCTAATTTTTGTGTTTTCCATAGAAACAGGGTTTCACCATGTTGGCCAGGCTGGTCTCAATCTCTTGACCTGGTGATCTGCCTACCTCGGCCTCTCAAAGCGCTGGGATCACGGCCACCGCACTCAGCCCTCTACACACATTTCTATGTACATATATATGTAACATTTGATTTGTTAGTGGTACTTAGCGTCCCCCCACTCCCTGTTTTAGGATACTCACCTGTGTTACACTAAAACCATTTTTAATTTAAAACACTTAAAAGAAATAATCACCCCTACTAAGCATCAAAAGAACAAGTACTATAAAGGTTCTTCATCTAAGTCTAAGGTCAACTTTTATTTATAACTAAATTCTTCAGAACTCAACAACAACAAAACATAATTTCCAGCACAACCTTTTCAAAGAAACAAAACATAGTATCATAAGCTTAACTACAACGTATTATTTCATTAAGCACTAAAGCTACCTACAATGACGTTAAGTGTTTAAAATATGAGCCACACATAGAACTTAACCTTAAACATCTACAGCTTTTTAAAATTTTTTTCTTTTTTTGTACTTTGTAGAGATGTTTCTAATCTCAGTGAGATGTCTCACTATGTTGCCCAGACTGACCTCAAACTCTTGGGCTCAAGGAGATCCTCCTTCTCGGCCTCCCAAAATGCTGAGATTACAGTTCTGAACCACTAGGCCACCATCCAAAAGTTTTTAAAATACAAACCAAAAACAACTCTAAAGAGACACACAGAAGCTCAGCAAAAGTATTTCAGCAGTACCCCTCCATGTACTTACTTGGGCCTTTGTAAGACATAGGTTAAAAGGAATGTTCGCAGAGACTCGATGCTACCTTTTTCCAAGAGAATCCACTCTCGGACAACTGCTTCCATTATGGCTGTGGCAGCTTGAAAAAGGACATAGTCCACTTTACTAGTTTCTGAGGAGAAAATTAAAAACTTTCTTTATACAACAGTTCATTTTACCTTGAACATTCTGCATTTATTAATTTTAAAACAGAACTTTTCAGACAAGGAATAAGATGGTTACCTGTTCTTTTTTTAATCCAGTGACCTTGCTCTAGCACCACAAAGAGGTTAGTTCCTCTCAGAAGACACCTCAGGCAGGTGGCAGCTAATCACCGATCACAATTTTCACAAACTTTCCTCACCTCTCTTCAACTGTTACTTCCAAAGCATGAAGAACTAAAAAATAACACAGCTTTAAAAAAAATAAAAATAAAAATATAAAGCAATCAGAAAATTTCCTAAGATTCTCACCCTGTGCAAAATAGAGCTTTGTATCTGAAAAGTATTTTAATAAACCAGTCGTTGAACATTACTATCTGTGATGAGCCATGCTGTCAAAATATTTCCATTTTAAGTATTCAGCTTCCAGCAGAATGACCCATCTCTAATAGCAAGTTCAGAAATAAAAACAATCATGTTCAAGTTTTCTTTCTCAAAATGTAAAATACAAAATAAGTCACATTTACACAAGGTGAGAAGTGCTTGTGAATTTTCTGATTGCAGTACTGATCAAACTGAGTAAAATCCCAAAGCTACACTTAGGAAGACCCAGCCTTAGCTAGCAAGTTATAGTATCTGATCTAAAATCTAAATCAGGGGAGAAAAAATAGAAAATTAACACACTTTAAACATTTTTATATTAATTTTCTATTTTTTCTTTTATTCACCAATACCACTACAATCAGTTTCCAAACAGCATTATCAACAGGGAGAAACAGTCAAAATGAAGTCAAGAAAAAGTAGAAATTTTCTGAAGCTCTAAAAAATAACCATCATGTGAAATCCATGAAAAGTCCACAATTAGACTCCAGATATTTGCCAAGATCACTGGACATGCATATCTGAAAGCCATGAGAAATTAACTCTAGGCATAGACTGGCATCTTCAAGAATTTATCAGAAGAGCATGAAGATATATATAGTCAAGCACACTGTTTTCTCTCCTATTCAAGCTCAGGTCATTTATAAATCTTACAAGTGTTCTTGACACATTAGCTATAAAAATGTAGGAGAAAAGGCATACCCTATATAAATTTCTATCACATTAGATTACTACATAGGAGTTTTGATCATATCGAAACTACTAAGAAACCAATTTGAACCTTTTTTTAAAGTTTTGATTCTATACTATCTTAACATGAACTCTAATTGAGATGATTATCAGAACTGATACAAATTTAGAAATTTAAAATATAATAAATAAAGCAATAGCTTCTAAAAATGTGAACCTATTAGAAAAAAAGAGGATTTGAACAGAAACCCAGCTCTATCTATTTAGATCAACTAAAAAGAAACATGGTACTGTCTCATAAAGGTAATTTAAATAATCTCTCATTATAAACCTCTTCTTAAAGAAAATGATCTTTGTTTGCCTATCTTCATTTTCTACTGCAATAGTAAAAATTTTAAGGACAAGAAACCGGAAATCCTTAACCGTGGATTTCAACAAGGAAGCAAAATCTCAGGGACTCTTAGGGTTTTACAAATAGAACTCAAGATCATCTAAATCAATTCCTGCATTTTACAGGAGCTGAAGAAACCGATGCTGCAAGAGACAGGAAATTTGAGGTCACACGGCTGGTAAATGTTCCTCGAGCAATACTAATCTCCCCTGAAACACACATGACACTGAAGACAAGAGCAAATAAACACCTTCAATGTTAATGATCACTGAAACATTCCTATTTCTAACTATTTGTTTTTATGTCCAAGCCTTTTTCTGCCCTTTGGAGGGAGCGGGTGTTAGATGTGAGGAAGCAGTTATAGGAGACGAATATTCAGAAGTTTTCAAGAGACAAAAGTTTCTGAACTCTTTCTTAGACACCTCTGCAATGTGGTATTAAATGAAGATCTCTAAATGACTACTCCCATAAGAAGCTGACTCTAAGAATGGAGAAATAATTTTTTTAAAAAGGCCAAAGTCCTAATTTAAAAGAAGAAATTTTCTTAAGCTAATAAATTACCCTTTCTCATAAAAACCATTATTAGCTGTCGTAAAATTAACTTATACATATATGCAAGAGATGCTAGAAGGGACTCTAGAAAACTACCAGTATGAAATTAGAACTTCACAAATACATATGAGTTTTATTTTTACTCTTTGTTATAAAGATGCCTGGAACCACAGGAACTCACAATTCATCCAGAATTTTTTTTCTTTTCTTTTTTTTTTTTTTGAGACGTAGTTTCACTCTTGTTGCCCAGGCTGGAGTGCAATGGCACGATCTCGGCTCACCAAAACCCTCACCTCCCACTTCAAGCAATTCTGCTTCAGCCTCCCAAAGTGTTGGGATTACAGGCATGTAACGCTGCTCCCAGCCTCATCTAGAATTTCTAAACTAACTACTTTTAGGAAGATCTGCAACTGACTAGGACACTGTCCAGTGAATAAATTATTTTAGGTGACTTCAGCAGAATGTTTTCATTTGCTACCACAGTAACTTTCTTGAATAATAATTATGTAAATGAAATTCATTTGCATTTTGTCAGCCCTCTGAAACTAGACAGAAACATGAAGACAAAAGTTAATAATAGAGGAAAACCACCACATTTCGACCAAAAAGTTTTTGAAAAAAGAAAACAAAACCCCAGTAGTGAAGCTATAGATATACAACTACTACAATCAACTCTCTGGCCTTAAAGATTTCTGTCCAAAGCACAGGCAATATAAGCTCCAAAAATCTGCTCTTTGCTTCAATGATACCTATGCCCACACGCTCATGACACAAAGTCCAGATGGAAGATGATTTACTAATTCCCCATGACTGCCAGCACTACTAAGGAAACAGTCATCCAGAGATGTAAAACTTTACTAGTCTAACTGACTTTTCAATAGCTTATTTTGTTTTGGCTACTTCTGAAATCAGAAGTCAAAGAAATCCATTTCTCCTTTAGAAAGGAGCAAAAGGATGCCACAAAGTTAGCTCCAGGAGAAATAAACCAATTCTTCGCTGTTCTTGATTATTTCTTTAACAAGAATAGAACTCACTGGTTTTTTAAAGGAATATCTGACCCTAAAAAAATATAAATTCCTAAGTGCCAAAGACTTCTGAAGTGAAGAAGTCTAAAAGTGCTCTTCTGACAAAATGTGCAAGCATGTCGCATGCACGCACAGACAGATCCACTACACATACACACACACACACACGCACACACACAGAAAAGAGCAAAGAACATAAAAACTAGAATAAAAACAAAAGGATAAGAAGAGAGAGAAATGAGGAAAAATTAGCAACATATAAAACTGCAGTCAGAAGTTGAGAAGGAAGAATTTTAAGAGGCTTGAAAAGGGAAGCATCAAAGAGAAAGTCTTCCCTTTAGTAGAATATACTACCCAGATCTTCTATAAAAATGATCACATAATCCCTAAACAAGAATGTGAAAATTCTGAACTGCGATTGACTGCCACTTGTATGAGAAGTCTTCTTAGAGGAATTTACCCTTCTGTGCTGGTGGCAACTGAATAAGGAGTGAAAAGATTTTCCGTGAAGTTTAGATGTAAACATTAATGTAACACAGGGCTTTGCAGTACATTAATGATTATGCTTGTAATACATGCACTCCACCTTTTAAATAGTCAAGTCTCAAAACCCAAACTGATTTTAAAAGCATGGCCAGAACTAGCAATACTACTCTTTGAAAAATTTTATCAGGAAAACAAAAGTATTCCAAAACAAGCTCAATCATAACAAAGCAACAATACTTCATAAAATTTACATATTCTAAAAAGGAAAAGTGGTATAAACAAATATGCTCTAATAAAATACTTATAACTTAGATCAACTATTTCTCAACTAGTGTAGAATGACACTGAATTCCAATACAAAGTCAGATGAAACACTGATGAAATCCTAGTCAATGTCATTAAGGCATATGCCATGAAAACCAGACTCAAATTATTTTAGGTTAATAGTTTAACACGATGGTTTTCTAAATCTATTAATCCTGAACAATTTCAAGGCAGTAAGGATGAGTTAATGCCCCCTTAAACTCTTTATGCTGTTTAGTTTTGCTTCATTTAACATTGACTTAAATATCCTGCACAGGTATAAGATAAATCTTCTTAGTGCCAGAAACGAATCCATCCAACTATAAAAGCTGACCACTGAAATAAGTGAATTCATTAATTAAAATGGCTTCAGCGAGTATTTAAAAAGTAGTTGTTGAACCTGTTCCTCTGCTAAGACCTAACTCCTGAATGAGACCAGAGCCACCTTCAGCACTGCTGCTAGTCCCTTGCAAACAGAGAACATAGCATTTCTTAAGCCGATTATATTTTTTGAAAGCTGTTTAAAATCAAGTATATGGCCATGACTTTTACCTTACAGTTCACATAGTGCTTTTACATAATGAAAATTAATTATATTTTTACCTCACAAAACAACTTAAGATAGCAAATCCATTAAGACAAATGGTATCATTATTGCCATGAGGCAGATGCAAAAGAGGCCCAGAGAGGTGAAGTGACTTCCTCAAGGTGCACCACTGGCACCTAGATGTCATAGTTGCTACATCATCACTCTTTCCACTACAATCAAACAACTCTCTTTCATAAGCCCTTATATGTAAAGCATTTTTAACACATAACTTTAGTTGTAGTTTATTTTAATCTGGAAACTAGCCTACTGGTAGCTATTGATAAGTCTTACTAAAAGCACAAGAATAAAAGCAGATGTTTTAGTTTCTAATACTCAACTAACCAATTTTATGGTCACAGATGACTCAAGTAGCCTTCCAGAGCCTTACAAAAGATGGCTCCTACTAAAAAAAAAAATCAGCCAGCAGTAATCAGGTTATAAAACAACAATAACCAACGAAGTCTCTCTGTTATTGAAAAATACCTAAGAGACAGATGGCAACATCGTATATAACTCTTAGAAAATGCCATCTTTGGATAAGAGAGTTATATTTCTTGCAACTGTTTTAGAGGAAATCTTTTCTGTACATGTCAAACAGAAGATATTTATAAAACATATTTGACAAAAGTAAAAATTGGTGTTTTATTTTAGGATATATAGAGCAATACCCTACCCAGACAAGACTAATATTCATTAAGCAAGCTGAGTACAAACTAAATGGTTTAAAAAAAAAAACTGTGAAAAACAACTAAAAGGAAATGTAGAAAACTCCAAAAACAATCTTAATTTTAAAACTAACACTGGGCTAAAAGATATTATAGTACATATCCTGTAATAATTGACATTTGAAAATAACTGAAAAATTACTAAATTTTTTCTCTACTATTAACAGCCTTCATGTTATGGTCAATAATAAAACAAATTATGGAACACTATATCTAGGGCGGAAAAAGAATCCAATGTGAAAACAAAGTTTCCTGCCTGGCTTTACGGAATATCTTTAAAGCCACTCCAGTAGAATGATTATTAATTTAAAAATTATAACTGTATAAACCTGATTTTTAAAAAGGAATTTAAAATAATGTTTAAGACAGCAAACCCCGATCTGATTATGCCAAAATACTTTATATTTTTTAACGTGAATACTTACCCAAAATATGCTTGCAAACTGCAAATGGTGATTTTGATTTCCTAAATGATAAGAATATGTGCTCTGCATGCTGGCGTTGTTCATTATTGACCATGGAAGGTGGTGCCTTGAGAGTTAAAAACAAAAACGGATACACTTATTTAATGAGAAAGCTTGAATAACAGCAATAGTTTAACCCACAAGAACAGAAAATGCTTGCACTATTGGGAGCAAGAGGGACAAATTCTTGCTTAACTTTTTAAAGAACTATAGTATAAAACTTGATAATAAATGTTTAAAATATGGTTTCAGAAAAAGAAAAATCCTGGCAAGGTTTGAGTCAGAATCCTTTTTAAAGGTTTTTAAAAACTTGCATTTAAAAAAAATAGATACTTATATAACTTTTCTGTATTTTTTTAAACATTTAGCTGACTTATTTATTATCACCTTTTATTCCAAAATATACCACTTGGACTAACTTGACCTAGTTCAAATAATTTGAAAATTCTGCAGGACAGGAGAAATAGAATCCAAGTTACTAAAAATCAGTTTCAAAAGCAATCCTTTAATTCAGAGGATCAAATAACTCTACCTTAAGTTTTCTAAAATCACTATCAAACCAGAAAAACTTGGGAACAGTTTAAGTTTGGAATTTATGGAACATATTTCTGAATAATAAATTAATCACTCAAAAAATCCAGACTTCTAATTTAACAAAAACAATTTTTGAAGTCTGTCCCCAAGTTTTTAAATACCATTTTGGTTTAACAATCATTCTTCTACAGATAATAATCTTCTGAACCAGATCTACATAAAATGTACATTCCTGTACTTTTAAACTATTAAGACTTACAAATACTAAATTTGGGAAAGGGGGTTGGAGGTAGATGGCAGGAAAATAAACCTCTATTATTCAAACCATTGTATGAAGAGGGCAAGTCATCATTTCAACTATATCAAATAATCTAGAAAATGAAAAATGTTATAATCAATTATATTAGATCAACATTCATTATAAATTATATCAATTATGCAACATCAGTCTCACTCTAATTTCAGTCAAAATAGTAAAAAAAAAAATTCACACAAGAAAAATTAACTACTATGAAGCTCTGGCTTCAGAGAATTCTTATAATTAGCTAAAGCAGATTCAGACTACTATTTCTAATGAAATAGCACCCTCTACAGTTCTCTAGATAAAAATGAAAATATTTCCATTAAAGAATTGTGTTGGCTGGTTGCTGTGGCTCAATCCTGTAATCCCAGCACTTTAGGAGGTCAAGGCGCGTGGATGACTTGAGATCAGGAATTTGAGACCAGGCTGGGCAACATGGTAAAACCCAGGCTTTGCTAAAAATGCAAAAATATAAACTGAGTGTGGTGGTACACACCTGTCATCCCAGCTACGCGGAGGCAGAGGCATGAGAATCGTTTGAACCCAAGGGGTGGAGGTTGCAATGAGCCCATATGGCACCACTGCACTCCAGCCTGGGTGACCAAGTGAAACTCTGTCTCAAAAAAAAGAAAGAAAGAGAGAAACAGAAAGAGAAAGAATTGTGTTAAATTCTTTAATATTTTTTAAAAAAAGAATTTGGGCATGGTGGCTCACACCTGTAATCTCAGCACTTTGGGAGGCCGAGGCGGGCAGATCACCTGAGGTCAGGAGTTCGAGACCCAACTGGCCAACACAGCGAAACCCTGTCTCTACTAAAAATACAAAAAAATTAGCCAGGCATGGTGGTGCATGCCTGTAAATCCCAGCTACTCGGGAGGCCGAGGCATGAGAATCACATGAACCCAGGCAGCGGAGGTTGCTGAGCTGAGATCCTGCTGCTGCACTCCAACCTGGGCAACAGAATGAGAATCCCTCTCAATTTTTTTTTAAAAAAGGCTGGGCGTGGTGGCTCATGCCTGTAATTCCAGTACTTTGGGAGGCCAAGGTGGGCAGATCACAAGATCAGGGGTTTGAGACCAGCCTGGCCAACATGGCCAAACCCGTCTCTAACAAAAATACAAAAAAATTAGCTGGGCGTAGTGGCACATGCCTGTAATCCCAGCTACTTGGGAGGCTGAGGCAGGAAAATTGCTTGAACCCAGGAGGCAGAGGTTGCAGTGAGCTGAGATCCTGCCACTGCACTCCAGCCTGGGAGACAAAGCAAGACTCTTGTCTCAAAAAAAAAAAAAAAAAAAGCCGAGTGTGGCTCATGCCTGTAATCCCAGCACTTTGGGAGACAGAAGTGAGAGGATCATGAGGTAAGGAGTTCAAGACCAGCCTAACCAACATGGTGAAAACCCATCTCTACTAAAAAATACAAAAATTAGTTGGGTGCCGTGGCAGGGACCTGTAATCTCAGCTACTTAGGAGACTGAGGCAGGAGAATCACACCAGGGAGGCAGAGGTTGCAGTGAGCAGATACTGTGCCACTGCACTCTAGCCTGGGCGCAGAGCAAGACTCCGTCTCAAAAAAAAGAAAAAAAAAGAATTTACTAATAAAACTGAGAGTCAGGGGTGTGGTGGCTCATGCCTGTAATCCCAACACTTTGGTAGGCCAAGGTGGGTGAATCACCTGGGGTCAGGAGTTCGAAACCAGCCTGGCTAACATGGTGAAACCCCATCTCTATGTACAAATACATAAAAAATTAGCCGAGCGTGGTAGGGGACACATAATCCCAGCTATTCGGGAGGATGAAGTAGGAGAATTGCTAGAACCCTGGAGGCGGAGGTTGCAGTGAGCCAAGATTGCACCTCTGCACACTCCGACCTTCGAGACAGAGTGAGACTCTGAGTAGGGAAGTAGGGGAGGGTGGAGAACTGTGAAGCCTGGTGTGGTGGCTCAAGTCTATAATCCCAGCACTTTGGGAGGCCAAGGCGGGTGGATCACCTGAGGTCAGGAGTTTAAGACCAACCTTGCCAACAGGATGAAACCTTGTCTCTACTAAAAACACCAAAATAGCTGGGCATGGTGGCAGGAGTCTGTAATCCCAGCTACTAGGGAGGCTGAGGCAGGAGAATCACTTGTACTGGGGAGACAGAGGTTGCAGTGAGCCAAGATCATGCCACTGCACTGCAGGCTATGTGACAGAGTAAGAGCTTATATCCCCTGACACCCCCCACAAAAAAAAAAAAAAAAAACTGAGCAGCTTACTATATTCTAGAAGTAGGTATTTTTGTCTTTCCATTTTCAAATTATTTTGTTTGTCTGCATTTTGGGTTTTTTTGTTTGTTTTTGAGACCTACTCTGCTGCCCAGACTGGAATACAGTAGCACGATCATGGCTCACTGCAGCCTCAACCTCCTGGGCTCTAGTGATCCTCCTGCCTCAGCCTCCTCAGTAGCCAGGACTACAGGCACATGCCACCAAGCCCAGCTAATTTTTGTATTTTTTTGTAGAGACAGGGTCTCACTATACTGCCCAACCTGCCCTCCAACTCCTGTCCTCCAGTGATCTGCCTGCCTTGGCCTCCCAAAGTGCTAGGATTATGGGTGGAAGCCATCATGCCCAGCCAATTTTCAGATTTTTTATTCCCACCACCTTCTCTAAGTTCAACAAGATGAGTTTGTGGGGTTTTTGTTTTATTGCTTTGTTTTGTTTTTTGATTTTTTTTTTTAAGAGACATAGTTTTACTCCGTCTCCCATGATGGAGTGCAGTGGCATGATCTCAGCTCACTGCGACCTCCACCTCGGCCTCCCAAAGTGCCAGGATTACAGGCATAAGCCACCGTACTCAGCCTTTTTGTTTTGTTTTGTTTTTTAAGACACGGTGTTATTCTGTCACCCAGAGTGGAGTGCAGTGGCATGATCATAGTTCACTGTGACCTCAAAGGTTTGGAAGCAATAGGAGGTGGTAGTAGAGAGCCAAGACCATCCCAAGGATCTTCAGGAAAATAAAAACAAGGACGGGAAAAAAACTGAGATGTGTTTCCAGAGGTGGAGCTCACAAATTCCTAGCTCAATTGACTGGGGTTTCTAGCCCCAAACTGCAGCATGAGCCTCCAGCCCAGCTCAGTTGCCTTCGGTTCACAAAATCTCCTGGAGAACACCATCAGTGTTCTAGAGGAATCCAAAATTAGAACTCTAAAGATCATTTACTAACACCTAAATTATTTACTAACATCATAACTGTCTCTTAAATCTACGTCCTCCTCTCTCACATAAAGCCTCAGTTCCTTCTTTGTCTCTCTCTATTCAAAGAGTATTTTTAAGGGCTGACTATATGCCAAGCACCATACCAGAAACTAGGGATGCTAAAGGGAAAAAGCCCTGCCCTTATAGAATTCTGTTAGGAAAGGCAGGCACTAAACAGTCACATAATAATTCATCGAGTCTGTAATTTCTGCCTGCACTGATTCATTCTGGCTTCTTCCTCCATCATGTTACTAATCCTTTCCTCAAAAAAATCAGGAATCCCAATTGTCAAATTCTACAGGATCTTTTTTGTTTTGTTTTGTTTTGTTTTGAGACAGAGTCTCACCGTGTTGCCCAGGCTGAAGTGCAGTGGTGCAATCTCAGTTCGCTGCAACCTCCGCCTCCCGGGTTCAAGCGATTCTCATGCCTCAGCTCCTCGAGTAACTGGAGACTACAGGCACACACCAGCACGCCCAACTAATTTTCTACAGGACCTTTAGACTCTTCTTTTCCCTGGGCAGCAATAATTGTAACTTTTTTACTACTATTAACAACGTCTACTACTTATTTGCCAGGCAGAAGGCTAAATACTTTACACACATCATCTCATTTAAACCCCAAACATCCCTGTAGGAATTATTTCCCCCCTTTTACATATGGAGAAAATAGGATTCAGATAGTGTTGCACACCCAAGATGACAAAGTTAACAAGTATCATAACCAGAATTTGACCTTAAGTCTATATGATGTTAAAGCCCATGCTTTGAACCGCCTTAAGTATTACTGTGCTGGGGAAATACAGTTGGGTAGAATAATATCTTTCAGTTACCTAGTAGAGAAATCTGAATATTCTTGGCTAAATATACATATCATTTATAGGACCATTAAAAAACACACAAAAACCAGGCACTACTGGTAGATATAAAATAAGCTACAAAACTAGAAAAGAAAATACGTGTTCAAGTCATATTATAGAGCTCATTTAAGGATTTCTTAGGTT